CCATTTTCAGTTGCAGAGGATCAAAATATTTATCAATTTTATGCAATGCAATTTTATGCAATGCAATTTTTTGCCATATTTGTACGAGCAAACACATCTGGTCAGAGGCAGTGTAAATTTGTGCATAACACATCACAACAATAACACATGATTAAATAATGTATAATATCACTAATAACACTGAGAATGCATAAGAATTTCTTCTCTGTGGATGGATTGGAACATTAGGACTCCTTTAGCCTGACCTGTAAGCCCGTTTACGTGAAAAAGAGATTCATGACCATTTGCCAACATAAAGCACATATGTGAAACTAGAAACAGTATGAAGTACACTAAAGGGCTTTTTTTTTTTGTATGAGCTTGAAATCCTTACCTCTTCTCCCCCAGGCTGAAGCTCTCTCTAACACTTACTACTATCAGGTCACACAGTCATTCTGGCCACCTTCCCACTGTGTGAGAGCTGGAAAGTGCTTTCCCTCTCAACATGGTCTGGAAAATGTATTCTCTTTCCCAGTGTTTTTTTTTTTTTTAAAGAAAATGGATCTTCAGGCTTTTATCACTGCTAATATTGACCTTGCTTGATATTTTCCTTAGTTTTCAGTTCGCTCTATTCTCACACACATACCTCCTTAAAGTCTGAAAGTTTTAGTCCACTTTTAGTCTAAAGTGGTAGTTTTGACTTCACAACCAGGAAATATTAGTGAAACCGACTGAATGATATTTTTCCTGCTTATGGGAGTCATTGCATTCCTGGGTTTATATGAGAGAGAAGAAGAGAATTTTCTTGTCTAGTAGCAGCCAATATTATTGTGCATTGTACTTTTACCTCATGAGCAGGAGGCCAAAACCTCCAAACCACAAGTCTCCTGACACAACTCATACCATTGACTAAGATATTTTGTGTTGTTCTCTTCTTTTAAACACACACGCTTGTCTTATTGTACTTATGAGAACTTTCCATTGATGTAATTCATGCAGATACATGTGCGTGCATACACACACACACATGCACACACACAAACACACACATCCAGGACGGATGCTTGTGTGCCACAAATGATCAGCTGGTTTACAGGATAAGTGATGAATTACTGATGCATGCTTGTGGTTTGCTGCCTTGTTGAGCGGCAGTAACTAAATCCAGTTATTCTGGAGCTCTCAGAGTTCTTGGGCCAAGATGTAACACAACACATCACAATCTAAAGCAGCTACACTGTGGTTCATTCTGTCCATTTACACTAATTTGATATTTGCCTTCTGGTCCCAGAAGGTCAGTCATCAAATGTCCATCAGCAATTACATTTGACCAGGGGTCAAATTCTTACAGAGAATCCTGTGCAGAGGATTGTGGGAGGGTTAAAAAGCACAAAATAGGCACATGCACTTTACTCCTGAGAGCTCAACTTTCCCCAAAGCAGCTAACTTCTTTTAAAGTGTTTCAATGCAATGTGAATGTGCCAGCTCATGTTACTCCTTTAACATGCTGTGATCCCTGCAAGGCTAATGAAAAAATTAGTTTTCATTAGATAGTGCTAAAATGTCCCTTATGTGATTACAAATTACCAGTCTCGATGGTAGGAGCATATTTAATAGTTTAACCTTTTCCAGATTCGGAATAATTTTTATGTAACTGGAGGAATGTGATGGACGATGGGTTGGGGTCAGAGAAAACCTGGGCCACCAGTTGATCATCCCAGGGTTTCCTTGGGTAAGAGACTATAAGCTTGCCACACCTGGATTTGGGGATCTTCTCACATTCCTCTCTGCAGAACCTCTCAGGTTCTGTCAGACCTATTTTCAGGTCTCTCCAGAGAAGTTCAGTCACATTCAAATCCAACCTCCAGCTGGGCTTCAAAAGGACTTTCACAGGCTTGTCCTGAAGTGAATCCTGTGCTGTCTTGGTTGTGTTAGACTGTGACCACTCTCACCATTCAGAGATCCTGTGTGCTCTTGTACCGGTTTTTCTTTAAGGATGTCTTCATCATTCCCCCAATCCTTACAGTACATGCTGCTGAAAAACATCTCACAGCATGATGCTGTCCCACCCATTGTTTTGCAGATTAATGAAGAAAAATTAATTAAATTTATTACAGGATAAGGCTTTAATGTAACAAAATACTTTCTTACTGCACTTTATGTCAGGTCAAAGGAATCAAGACTGATGTTGATCTACTGACACAAAGCTTCTCAGAATCTGTAAAGTTCACTGAGCG